CGCCCGACCCGGCCCGGCCCGGCCCGCTCCGCCCCGACCCGGCCCCGGCCCGCTCCAAACTTTCTTCGTTCGCCGTTCACGGGCGCCGCTCTCCGCGCGAAGGACGCCGCTCTCCCCAGCAGGCAAACTCCGGGGCTCGGACGCGCTCTCGCCGGCTCTGGCGTCTCTGGAGATTTCCCCTTCACAGCCACGATCGCTTAAAAGGCACCTTTTCGCTTCTTTTGCCACATCTCATTTCCTTTTCTTCCTTCCTGTTTTCTTGTCTTTTTTTGTAACCCCAAATTCAAGGGAATTATAAAAATAAGAGTGGAACGCTTGCAGCTTTTTTTTTAATCTCTCTCCTTTCAAACTCTGCGAACACCACCTCAAAATAATATGCAAGTGTGTAAGGGGGGAAGAAAGCAGCCAACAGCCCAAACACCCGCTCGGAACAGCTCTAACAACACGCTCTGTGTAGGTGACTTCTTTGACCAAATTTAGCAGCCGCTAATCATTAACATTCTGATACATATTCACAACCGGCCACCGAGGGACCGCGAAGCATCCCGGGAGATGTAGTCCACCCCGGGCGACCGCCGCTTAGCAGACCGCCAGATTGACTACAAGCACCAGCCGGCCACGGGACCACTCCGGGGCGCTCTGCGAGTGCTCCGCCCTCCCCAGGCGCGGTAGGCGCATGCAGCAACCAATCAGAGGTGGGTGAACATTAATCGCCGGTCTGTGTTACTGCCCATCATTTCACTGCTGACAAATGGAAACCCGGCGGGGAGGAGCCGAGCGGCTGGAACCCACGTGGGGGCCGGGCGTCGCGGGTGGCTCCGACCAATGAACGGAAAGGGATGGGTTGGCAGGGGCGGGGCGGAGACGGCCCGCTCAAGGCGGAGCTTAGCCTTGGCGGACCGTTCCTTAGCGCGAGCGTTCGAACCCGGGAAACATTTGTTCAGCTGTCAATCAAAGTAACGTGGGCTGGGAGCAGGGCGGCTGCCGTCCCTGCAGCCCGGGCCGCATCTTCAGAGCGAGACGGCGGCGGCAGCGAAGAGTAGAGGGCGGAGGTGCGGCGGGCCGGGCTGGCCGTAGGCTTGTCCTCCCGTGCCCCTCAGCCCGGTCTCCGAGACCCCGCGGGGCCTGAGGGCGGCTCTCGCGCGCTGCAGCCGGCCGCGACCTCGGTCCTGGTCCCGAGCGGAAGCAGGCGCGGCGGGTCGGTCCTGCCGGAGGAGGCGCCCCCTGCCCGGCTCCGAGGCGCGGGGATCTCCCCGGCCGGGCCACCTCCCGGGCCCGGAGTCCTTGGACCCCTCCTCCCCTCCGAACCGTCGCACTTTTCACTCAGAAGTGCCCGAAAAAAGCCCAGTCGGGAATTAGCTAGGGACAGTGGGTTTGGACGTTCATTTCCGAGCATCCTTTCCCTACTTGAGATCTTGGCCGAGATGGTGCTGTTCAGAAAAAATGGGAAAACATTCATTTGTGTAATGATACCTTTTTCTCGGTGAAAGAACTCATGATTTAATGTGCAACCAGGCGCATTCCGGACTCCCGGCAAGCAGCCGTCGAGGCGGACCCAGCGGAGGCCGGCGGCGGGTCTCCTGTCCCAGGCTCGCTGGAAACTCAGAACCCGCACTGCCGAGTATTTCACTCCCGCAAATAGTTTCTCCTCCGTCCACAAAATAAGAGGCTTGCAGAGTCCTCTGGCAGTGTTCTAAACCTCCACTGTCCCATACCTAGGCACTCGTGACTGCTGAAATGTGGCCAGACCCAAATGAGATACCTGTAGGTGTATGTGCTGTTGAAGAATTAGTAAGAAAAAGCGAGGTAACTCAGTAACGTACAATGATTCCCTGCCAACACTACATTTTTGACATATTTAAAAAACACATTTTAAGTTCATTTTGCCCCTTTTCATTTTTTAACCTGGCTCCTAGAACATTTAGAAATGGCTCTGTGAGCTCAGGTATTTCTATAGAACAGCACTATTCTGAGATATTCCCAAGAACCAAAAGTTAGGTTGAATGAGACTAGGACAGTGAGCTTTCTAAGAACAACAACGATCATGTTTTATTCTGAAGTTGGTTATTTGCTCTTACTGGAAATTTTCAGCTCTGTTAAATCAACATAATGCTTGTATAGGAAGTTCCACGTTCTCTCTACTTTAGTCAATGTTAGCAAGTTCTGTGAGAGTAGGGACTTGGTCATATACAAGGCTGTACTCCAAATGCCCAGAATGATGACTGACGCATAGCTGGTGCTTAGTAAATATTTGTTAATAGCATTAATGAATAAATGTCACATCGTATCAGTATAAAAAGCTGGTGCCTCATTCGGGCCATATTTATTGAAGTTCTGTGCAGTTAATTCCCAGGACAGGAAACAGGAATTGTAACTGTACAACCTGAAGAGCTGTGTAAAGGGTCAGTGGGCAAAAATACTTTGCTGTATTTGGATCAGATAGCTTAGTGTGGGGACCTTTCTCCTAATACTTCTTGAAAGGTTGTGGCAACAGAAAGGAGACTGAAGAAATCAGGATGCGTCTTTGTTTTTTTTAAGTACAGTTTTAAACTGTAATCCTTGGATATGGTTCCCATTTTGGCCGTGTGAGAGATCTAAATAATTTACAGCAGTGTCCCAGGAAGATGGCCAGTGGTCCAGTCCTTACCCCAACACAGGAAGTTGGTGTGTCTCATGGCTACTTTTGTGTCTTCTACTTTCCGCTTGTGCTTCTCTCATTATACTTCTCACGAGCTGTAGGCTCAGCTGTGAAAGCGTTTAGAGACTTGTCTTATTCCTGCCACAGACCTGGGGAGGGGTGCTGTCCATGATTTTCACATGGGAAGGGTGTAACAGTCAGTTATTGATACTAAAAGGCCTGAGTGAGGTTGCGTGGGTCCAATCTGAAATGACAAATGCCAAGCAGGAACACTTTTCTCTCAGTTTAGATGTTGTAACTCATTTATCACTTCACCAAATATTTATTGAATGCCTAGTAAGTACCAAAATAGGGGAATTTAACAAACATGGCTATTATTCACTTCTTGCTTCTTGGCTCTAAACTTTCCATGTTTGCCTGTTCCGTGAAAATGGACCCAGGTCCTTTAAAAATTTTCCAGTGGATGAGAAAGCTTCTTCAATAAAGAACACCAGAGAGACACTGCAGAAGGAAGGGTTTGATTGTTAGGTAGTTCTGGTGTGCATACTGGGCAGGTTCCTAAAGCACAAGTAGCAAGCAATAGCACTCAACTTCCTCTAGAACCTCTCTTACGTGCTTTTGGAGCAAGCATCACTGAAAAGCATTCTCCTGATGCTCCAGAGAATGGATCTCCAGCAAGTTCTAGAGGCTGGATATCTGGCACAACCCAGAAGGCAGATTTTCAGAGCAGTCCACCTGTTATTCAGAGGGCCCTCTTTGGCAAGGTCTAGATTAGCTCAACCCTACAATCTGGTATGGAGGCAGCTCTTTTGGGGATACTCCGTCTCACTCCTAGTACTACTAGTAGTAGCTGCTTCTTATATCTGCTATTTCTGTATGTTCTAGAGTTTTCTTTACTTTTTATCAGCCCCTCTTTACTCCCATACCTACTATTATAGTTAATAATTTCTTATTTAGGACTTATTCAAATTATTTTCTCTCCAAGTTGGACCCAGAAGGGTGGAATAAACAACATAAGCCCATGGGTCTTACATTCCCAAAGAGACAGTGGGAAGTGCTAAAGGGGAGAGAAAGCATTGGGGTAGGGGTTAGTGGAGAGACGAAACTGGTTCACAGGGGCAGTCAAGGGCAGCTTCTCAGTGAAGGGAACGTTTAAGCAGATGCTCAAATACCAAGAGAGAGAGTTAGTCATGGAAAACATCACAGAGAAACAAATTTCAGATGTTGCAAAAGTCCCATTTTGAGAAGTCCTGGTCACTGTGAGGATTTTTAAAAGGTCAGTGTATTTCACAGGAATAGTAAATGATTAGGTTATGGTCACATCTACGGGTCCCAGTCACCTGGAGCTTCTTACAGTGATAAAGGCATTTGTGGATGTCCTTTTTGCAGCACTGGGGATTGACTCCAGGCCCTTGCACATGGTAGGGGAACTCTATAACTGAGCTATATCCCCAGTCTATTTTAAATTGCATTTTGAGACAGGGTTTTGTCAAATTTCCCAGGCTGGCCTTGAACTTGTGATCTTCCTACTTTGGCTTCCTGCATAGATGAGATTACAGGCATGTGCCACCATTCCCAGCTGAGTTATTTGTTTTTTACTTTGAACATAGTAGAAACATGTCACTGGGAGGAGAAAAGGACAGTCGGCAGGGAGCAAAGGGATCATTACAGATATCTCACTGGTCCCAGAATTCCTACATTCATTCTTGATATTAAAAACTTAATATATTTTAGAGACGCTGCTCTTTACAGAGGC